TAATAAAACCACTTGAAAATGAGCACACTCATTCGTTATAAGCTTAAAAACAAGTCTGCAATGAAATGTGTCTTTATATTTTTTATATATAATTTTCCAAAATGTCTATAAAATACAGTGGATCTCAGAATTAATTTCACCAAAAGGAAACCGTAAAATCACTTGAAAATGAACATGGTGGATCTTTACAAGCTTTAGAACAGAGGTGCCCAACGTGGGGCCCGCGGGCCAAAATTGGCCTGCCGAGACATTTGATTTGGCCCACCAGCAGTTGTCCTGGTTACTAGATTGTAATTATGTTAAGATTAAATATAAAATACAAGTAACTTAGGTTATATTTAAGCCCATATATAGATTTGCACACCTTATAAGACCACATATACTTAAATTTTAAATCAGGAAAAGTCCCATGAGTCTTTGCTGTCTTAGCATGTGTTGAATTTTCTCCATGTCCATGGGGTGAAATAAAAAACTAAAGAATGTGGGCAACCACACTGGCTGCTAGCTTTATCATAAAAAATAACAACTTTATTTAAGTATTTGCATTTCTTATATTATTGCATTTGGCCCGCGGCCCTCAGATTGATTTTAATTTTGGCCCTCTCAAGTGAAATGTTTGGGCACCCCTGCTTTAGAGCAAGTCTGCAGTGAAATTTCTTGATAACTCAGCCTCTATTGATGAATTACAAGCTATTTCAGTGCCGATGGTGGGATTTCCGAGCTGTATTTGAAGGCATCATGAACGTCAAAACTCTCGTCTGCGGGCGGAACCGTAATAAGCCGTGTAAACACGCAACATTTATTCAGGCACTCTAAAGCGTGGACGGCGTGACCACGAGTTTTCGGTTTTAGTGCGCCGACATGCCCCATTATCTGCAGTTATTTACTGTGTCAGTCMACGGAAACAAAAAATAATTTTATTATAACATGTAAGACTTACCTCCAAGTCCACCCACACCATCCTCTGCGACATCGTGTCGTTGGACGACATGCTGCTGTTTCTATCTGATAACTGAGGGTCAGAAACGGATCCAAACCTGGAGGAAATGCCGAGGAGCCTCTTCGGTGCATAAAACCGATCCGTGAGGCACGGTCCAGAGCAGAGGGACCGGTGCAGTCTGTGGGAGAGCTTGGAACAGGACCAGAACCTGCGTGCTGCACACCTGAAGCTCTGCAGGATCACTGTCATGATGCTTTTCTTCTTCTTCCTCTTCCTGATGGCAGAACACTCACCTGTTGGTGCAATACTGCCACCATCAGGCTGAGTGCACTAACTACACCACAAGGCCCTCAACCATCAACCATCCCAGACTAGTTGGTTATTATGGAGTTAAAAGGGTGACAGCTTACACTGATATTGAAAAATAAATTTGGCATTGAAAAATGAAACACTGAAAAAAAAAATTGAAAAAATTTTGGCATTTTAAAGTTACAATGCCAAAATCTTTTCAATAATTTTTTTCAGTGTTTCATTTTTCAATGTTGTGTTTTTCAATGACATTGTTGTTTTTTCAGTGTTTCTTTTTTCAATGTCAAATCTCTTTTTCAATATCAATGTAAGCTGTCACCCATTTAATTCCACAGTTTTGATGTCTCTTTAAATCGAAAGGAGGACCTTCACCCATACATTTATTTATTTTATTTAGAAATGTATTATTTTCATTAAAAACAAAATTACTATGTACGATAACATGACACAAACAACGATCAAATGAAATGAAAGGCAGCAGAATCTGCCCCTTTTACCCCCAGAATATGCTCAAATTAATTTACAAAAAACACTAAATAAAAACATCGACTAAAACAACAATTATGGATTCACATTCTGCTTTTCCATATTCCTTCAGAAAAAAAGATTTAAATCTTTACTCTCAATTTTCAAAATTACTAGAAAATATTAATTCTCAGACTTGATTTTATTGAATATTGTAATTTGCTAATGAAGCCAGTGTAGCAGGAAGTGACCCCTCGTCTGGAATGACCTCTGAACCCTGAGGTTATGTCCTGAACTGAACTGAAATATTTCATTTAAAAGTTATTTTAAAGATTAATCTTGACACACTGCATTCTGTTTCAAAAGGCACATTGTCCTTTAACACTTAATCATGAATATACGGACCGGCCACTTTATTAGGTACACCACGCTAGTAACGGGTTGGACCCCCTTTTGCCTTCAGAACTGCCTCAATTCTTCGTGGCATAGATTCAACA